AAAAACGACAGCAACTTGTCTGTTCCCCTTCCCTCAATTCCCCAGCACTGTTCCCATCCCCCCAATTCCCCAATAAAAATCTTAAAAAAAAAAAATTTCCATGGGAAAGGTACCTACCCCAAACCAGGAAGAGAATACTCTTTTTTTTTCTTTTTCCATCTACTTCTATTGAGATATAATTGACATCTATCATTGTATAAGTTTGAGGTGTACAATGTCAGGAAGGAAAAATATTCCTCTATCTTTTTAGGTTCTTCTGCCTGGTCTAATAATCAAATCGATATGAGACAGACTAGCAGGAGAAAAACAAATTTTAATAACATGTAGACATGGGAGACACCAAGGAAAACTGAGTGACTCTCCAAAATGATGGAAGCTAACACCTTAAATACCACCTTCCGCTGAAGACAAAAGATGTTGGGAGTGGAGAGTCAGTTATGGGAGGTGACCAGGACAAACACAGTAAACAAGGATAACATTGGTAATATTGGTAATGAAGGCAGGTCTGGTACAGTGAGGGAAACACCCTTACAAGTAGAGGTTTCCATTACAAATGTGAGTGTCCTTTACAAAGAGTAACTTCTATTTGGTTTTTCAGAGCTTTGCCCATGTATGCCGTTTCTTAAATATGGCCAGCCTAAAATAATCAATATCCTCAAAGAGGCATATTTTGGGATGGCAAACTCTATTCTCCTTCAACAACATAATGATTTGATGCATGTCTATATTGTAAAATGATCAACGAGGAAATGATCATCTGAAGAAATGATTCTATTATTGTTCTAACCAGCTTGGGAACTTAAACTTTTGAACTTTCCAGTCCTGTGTCAAGGTTTGGGTATACATCAAACCTCCAGATAACCCTCTGATTATCCCCTGAAGGACTAAGGAAAGAATATTTGTGTATCCAGACCACCCCACAGATGTGACCAGACCTCCTGGAGTCCATCCTCCAGACCACTTGGCATCCATCAATCAGACCACCTGACAGACCAACCAACTGTCCTGAACCAATCCTAAGGCTAAGAATTATTTGTTATTCTCAAGAACGGACTTGTTACTATAAGGACCTTTCTTTCTTGTTCAGAATACTTCTGGGTTTTTGCCAAATTGTATTTCTGGTTTGCAAACTCTGAGACCCTTGAATAAATCTGTATCGTTTATTTTTAGCCAAAGCCTCCAGACTCTTTCATTCAACATATCCGTCACTTGAGAAGAATATTTTTATTGTGGATGAAAAAGGGAGCTGTAATAAATCTAACTGAAAGTAACCTCACAGAGTGGCTGATCATAAATTCCTATCTGGGGGCTGGCTGAGTGGCACGTTGGTTAGGAGTTTTGGGACGCCAGCTCCTAGCAACAGGGCCTCAGTTCGGATCCCACATGAGGGCCAGTGACGCTGTGCCCTCTACAGCTAAGATGGTGAACAACAGCTCAACCTGGAGCTGGGCTTCTGTGAGTCGCCAGTGATGGCATAGGCTGCAGCCCCTGCTGCAGTGGGCTGCCATAAGCTACTGTGTGTAGCCGGCAGCCATGTGAGCTGCCAAGAGCCGCCGCCTAGCTGGACATCCCAAGCCAGCTCTTAACCAATGTGCTACTCGGCTGGCCCCATTTTTCTTTTCTTTATAGTAGAAGCAACAAAATCCAGTGAGATCACAAGTTTAAATTCACGGTGGGATCTAGTGTGTTTTTTTTTTTTACCCTTTAGCATTTGAAAGCTTCACCTTCATTTGCTTGTTGCTTTAGATACATCTTCAATTCTCATTGGCTATTGGCTTGCACATCACAGTGGAAGCTAAGTTTGTCCATAGAATGAGTCCAATTTCAGCAACATACAGAAGGTGCCCCAAAATGTATATATATTTTAAGAAAGGAAAAAACTGTATTGAAAGTACGCTGATGATAACCACTTTGAGCACCTCTTGTAATTGCAAAATCAAACGTGACTTGTATTCATCTTTTGTTATTGGTATATATTGAGTATTGCAATTTTAATACAGTTTTTCCCTTTCTTAAAATGTGTATACATTTTTTTGGCACCCTCTGTATTGTGTGTCATGGAAGCCTCATTCTGGGATTGCTACAACTGGATTATGAATGTTGCTCACCCAGTTATGCGTCCTCCTTGTCAACAACATATGATAATTGTAGAGATTACTACATTAGACTAGCTGTGCCACAGAGCACTGTTGAGTCACTGGTGACTAGTATGAGGAGTAGGGGTGGGAGGGACTCTTTTCTTGGTGTTGTAGAAGATGATGGACTCCACCCTCCTGTGGAGAAGTGTGACATAAGAATGGAGAGAGCAGATTCTAAAGATCTTCAGCTAACACTGGAGGATATAGAATTTTATTGAATTCCTCTTGGTTTTCTGACAGCTAGTTAGAAGACAACATTTTAAAGATTAGTCGCTGAGTACAGTTGGGGAAAGAAGGCTGAAAAATCTGCTTAGGAACATTTGATGGTAGTACTTAGGTAAGGGATATAGGTAAAGGCAGCCATGGACATGGGACTCATGTTGGGAATTCCCTCATGTTGGGAATGGTGGCAACATCCTCATTAGCTGAAAAGGTATGAGCATTTTGAGGAAATGATGTGGTTTGTTTCATCATTGTGAGCATCAGTAATTGGGAGTAGTGACTTGGGAATAGGATTAAGGTGACAGAATTACAGGTAAAATTTTGGTGAAAAAATATTAAGGCTCTTTCTCACATGTTTTAGCACACAGTGGAGCATTCCAGAGGAAGCTTCTTAAAGCACAAATTTGTGTTGTCTAAGGAAAATCAATGAGAAGAATGTAGAAAAGAATTGAAATCTTTGAACAATCTCTTTTCTAATTGTCTTTTTTATATAGCTCTAGTAGACTTCTTATGAAGCCTGAGGTTCTTATTTTCACATGTTTGCATTATGTGAGTTGGTATACTGGGTCAAAATTTCCATTCAGATACACCTGTATTCTGTTTCTGATGTACTGTGGAAATGTATGATTGTCTTCCTGGATTTCAATCTCAAAAGCTTTATTTCTTTACCTGGAAAAACAGATGTCATTATTGTTATGTCTTTTACAAATTATGTAAACTTAAAAAAAAAAAGGTAATTAATATTTTCAATATGAACTGCTCCTTGAAGGGAATTAGTTCCTTTAAATTTAGTTCCCATAATTTTATTTATACTAATTTTCTCTTTCTGGCTTAACTGGGTGGCCTTAGTTCTAAAATACCAGTATTAGGTAGGACAGTCTTATTTATGCTCTTTACCTCTTCAGAGTGTGATAAATTCCCCTTAGAAGTGAATGTGAAGAAAACATTTTTTCATGCCAACTCCTATGTTCTTACGGAATAAGTATGTAACCAAACCTGTTCTAAGTTAGAGCTCAATTGAAAGCTCACATGTAGAAAATTACTCATTCTGGGTAAATAGACACAGTATTTAATGCTGAAATAGTTTCTGATCTGCTATTACATTAAAAACATCTTAAAAATTGTTCTGAATTATATGTATTTTAAGAGTGAATGGGCTCACGTTTGTTTTTTAGAAATAGTAGGGAATATATCATAATACCTTAATAAGGTAATGAAAGGCCAACGTTTTTGTTTTGGGTAGGATTTGGCTAATGCTTTCGGATTTACTTCCGAAGCTTTCACAGACACACTCCTAACAATATATTGGCCGTTGGCAGAAGCACACCATATAGCCTAAATCCCTAAATTTTGGCTTCTGCCCAAGGAGTGTAACCCGTATCCATAGAGATTGTGAAAAGCGTCCATGAGCGAGAGCGGCCCCTGCCTCTTCTAATCTAAGCTACTTCCCTTTTCGGCGGAGGGAAAAAACGAAGGGGATATTTATGTGACCGTCCGTGGAGCGCTATTTCTCTCCGTCCCTTGATGCTCAATACTGTGTTGGCTGAGTTCCTGGCTGAACCACAACTCCCAAGGTGCACCCAGGCTCTAGGCTGTCAGAGAAGCAGTTTCCGGTTAGGCCAGCGCGGCTGCGCACGAGGTGTGGTCTTATTGGATCCAACAGCCTCGTGCGATTGGCGTCAAGGCGACGTGCGGTCGTGGGGGCGGGCAGACGCGGCGGCGGCGGTCGCGGCGGCGCGCGCACACTATACCAGACGCGGTATCGCGGCGGCGGCAGCGGCGGCAGACGCACCGGGTTGGGCCCCTTCCCTCCTCCGCTCCCCCCCCTCCTCCCCCTCCCCTCAGCCGTGGTCTCCGAGGAGTCCGAGACGTACGGCGAGGCGGCGACAAGCTCTGGGTAAGGGTCTCTGGAGTGCGAGCGCCGTTCCCCCGGGCGAAGAGAAGAGAGAGCCTGGGGTCGGAAAGGAGGTGACGGCTTGAGGGGGCGAGTGTCCGGGGCGCGGGCCGGGGAGCGCGCGCTCGTCCCGGTCCTGAACTTGGGCCTTCTAACATGACCCGCCGCCCTACACAGTGTGCGACGCGGTGGCCGGAGGGGCGGACTGTGAGGGGCCTGGATCTGCCCTCCTTTAAACCGCTGTCACTGAAGCCTGGCACTCGCCGCCCGCCTCGACCCTCCCAGCAAGCGGTCCAGAGCCCTCTTAGCTCTCTTCCCTTCGCGTGCACTTGCCCTTCCTTAGTGCCCACCGAGAGAATTTCTTCTGCTCTCCGTTTCATTTCCGTCTCTTTGAACACTTCTAGGAATTTCTTTGGTGGTAGGCTTCGAAGGTTCTGTTTAGTACTACTTTGACAGTACCTGGAGTGGGAAGATTTCCTCACTTTTCCTTAGGTGGCGGTTCCGGCCGCCTACTTGACCGAGTACCTTGCGCTCTGTTTTCCCAGGACCCGTTGGGCTTTTGGTCTGTCCGTGTGCTTCTTTTAAAACTGCTGATAACAGGCTTTAAATCAGTGGTAGGGGTCTGTGAGAGAGTTTGGATTGAAAACTAATAGGTACTTTTACCCTCCTCCTGGCTTTTGACCTTATTGAAATGTTTGCCTCCGGAATTTGACAACTTCATGTGTGGCCCAACAATGAATTTGGGTAGAAAAATTCAAATGCCCAACTGGGATTTTACTGGTTGATTTGTCTTCATTGCAGGTCTTGGGCATTGTTTTAATAGAATAATTATTTAATATTTTTATTTTTAGACTTCGGATTTCTCAGCCTTACTTTATTCCTATTATGTCTCTTCCAAAAACAGTCCTCCCCCCCCCCCCCCAAAACCATTTTAAACTCTTAAGAAATCTGTCATAACATTTAAAATTATTTGATCACAAAACTCTTCCCAATGAAATGTTAAAAGTAATTTTCTTCAGCCCAAAGCTTTACTTTTTTGGGGGGAGATCATAAACTTTTGTCAGTTCTGCAGTTTGAAGTGTCTGCATATCAAGGGCCCACCTGTATGTCTCCTTTCGCCACCCTCTAACATTTATTGTTAGCATTTCATAGATTTTTTTATTCCTAATTTTTCATTTCATAGAAATTTGATTTCTAGTGCTATTAGTTGTTCATAGATGTTTTCATTCTTTCTCACAAATTTGTCAGAGTGGTGATTCTGATGACCTATAACTAAAATTATTTCATCAGTACTCGGGACTTCCACACATGTGGTGGTAGCTGCTTGGTGGTGAATTATTATGAACTTTGAAAAAAAGTTTAAGTTGATTTTAATATGAAAGACATATTTCTTTTAGCTTCTATTTTAACTGCTTATCCACCATTGTATATTCCTACTTAGACTTTAGGTTGCTTAGTAGCAGATTTTCTCTTCTTATTAGGGTCCTGGATGAGAGGAGGATTTCCAGAGCCGAATTTGTGTTTTTCTATCCCTTGACTTTTATGAATTAATAAATGGTTGGAGTTTTTTCTATCAATAGTGTCAGTATAGCTGATGCACTTTCTTTGGTATACATTGCATGCTGTTTTCCAAAATGAAAATAATTTTGTTTTAGTCTTTATTTCAGGGGTGGACGAACTTTAAGCTTGTGGGCCAAGTCCTGCCAGCTGCCTGTTTTTGTAAATCAACTTTTTATTGGGACATAGCCATATACACTCATTTAGATACTGTCTGGTTCTTTTTGTGGTGCAACGGTAGAGTAATTGGGACAGAGACCCATATGGCCTGCAAAGCATAAACTATTTACTGTCTGGACCTTAATAGAAAAAGTTATCTGACTAATACTTTATTTTATTAAAAATGATGTATAGTCCATGTAGAAAATTAAAATTAGTCAGGAAAGTATAAACAAGAAAGTAAAACATATCCAGAAACACACTACTCAGAGAGGTTTGCTTTTGTGATTATCCTTATAGGACTTGTTAGTGATTATTTTTATATAAATGGGCTCATATTGTTAAGTGTTGGTTTGCAATTTGCTTTAAAAAAATCTCAGGTTAATTTTATTTGGCATTTGATTATGTTTGTATTTTCTGCATCAAAGATCTCACTAGAAAGGGGCTTGATGAACTAAGTTTTCCTGATTTGTCTTACTAGTCAAGATTAAAAAAAAAAATTAAGGAATAATGGATGCTTGATGATGAATAATAGATGCTTGATCATCATGATGGTGGTGGTGGACACCATTTAGTAAGCATTTACTGTGTGCTAGATAGTTTTTCAGTACTTTACATGCATTGTCATTTAATACCTGCAGCAGCTCTGTGGGTACACATACTGTTAACCCTATTTTATTTTATTTTATTTATTTTTTTTTAAAGATTTTTATTGGGGAATTGGGGGATGGGAACAGTGCTGGGGAATTGGGGGAAGGGGAACAGACAAGTTGCTGTTGTTTTGTT